TGCTTCTCGGTACCATAGTTCCAGGTAAGCTCGAGCAGCCCCTCCCATCCAGCAACTGGATTCTTCGAGCCCTCCTGTGCAGTGGGGTTGGATGCAGGGTAACCCAAAAAGTAAAGATTGAAGGCAGCATCCTTGTTCTCGATGGTGCGGACAAGGGTCATGCCCATAATCTCCTGGTAGAACTTGAGGCTGGTCTCAGCGGACTTGACCCGTAGCATGGTGTGGTTCAGTCGGTAGGTGCCTGGATCTGTCGCAGTCCCCACATCCTGGTCGTGGCGGCGGATGATCTCAACCCAGTATCCATCGGGATCCTTTGCAAACGCGATGTGCTTCATGCGACCCTCTGTGAGCTTCTTCTGGAATTGATACCCAGCATCTTCGAGTCTCTTGCAGGCCGCTTCGATATTGTCGACCGAGATGGCGATGTGTCCGAAACCGCGGTGGGGCTCCGTGTTCCCATTGGCAACAGTGTAATTGGGGTCATTCTCCGTGCCATAGTTGTGCGTGAGTTCCAGCACAGCATTGCGGTCCGTCCAGTGACGGTCGCCCTGCAGCGACTGGGGGCCATTGTAGGCGAGGAAGTAGAGGGAGAACTTGTTCTCAGGATAGTCGAGCTGCTGGATTTGATTGAGCCCAAGGAACTTGTAAAACTCCACTGAAGAAACAAGCAATGAGGCAATCAGCGCCCAATCCAATGACGGCGTAGTTATTCGGGCTACCCACCTGATCTCTTTGGGTCCTTGACCCGGATCATAGTGTCTGCAAGCTACGTTAGACTCAAACATTTATATCTTGTCACTCTAGGTCCAATCACAGGGGAAGGCACTAACGATTAAGCTTATACTTGGAGGTTTCGGTCGCCATGGTTGCCAACAATCTAGTAGAGGTTCCTGCAGGGCCTCATTAGCAAATGATTGATGATAAGTGGGGTAGAGAAGCGATTGAATATGAGAGACGCATACCTGATAGGATGAAGTTTCTTGGAATGGGGACCTTGAGAGAAGGACGAGACGCAGCAAGAAAACGACAAGCGAACATCGAGCAAAAGAAAGCAGCGGAGGGGTAAAGTGGTGATGCGTCTTGTTATTATTAATTAGTGAGCGGAGGCGTGAGGAGAAAAAAAGAGCAAATTAGGTGGGGTCACCTATGACGCTATGGTGGGATACTCCAACATTGGGGTCAGGACCAGTATTCATACAGAGGTACGTCTAACCCGCTTCAATTGGGAGTCCTTCAATGAATGAATACTTCTCCTTCTTCTTCTTCCTCTTCTGAGACTGGAAATGTATACAAGTGAGGCATTGAAGCTATTGTGTATACTCCCTGGTGATGGATGCTCATCTCCTTTGCTGCATACGTCACAGAACTAGATGCATTAGAAAGGTACCAAGCATAGCATTGGGTAATCCTACAAGATACTCGCCCTATAACCATCAAGCGAATATACATCCGCTGTAAGCTCTTCTAGCGCCGAATCTCTACCTTCTAGAGGGAATGAGCTGTTTAGTTCAGTTGGCAGGGTGTGTCTAGTTCTGCCTGATAAACCAGGCCACCCAGATCGGCTGATCTTCTCCGCTTTCCGCCGTCCATCATCAAATCCCCCAGCGCCTCGACCCTCTCTCATCTCATCTGCTCTGCTTCTGCTTACTGTTGTTTGACAACTAATAATAATCTGCTATCCTGCAGCTTCATATCGTGAAAATCTACTGTTGATTGACTTGCCAACGCTGGTCGTTGCATAGATCTACAAAGGTCCGTGGAATTCCTATAGCTTGCCCTCTCTCACTCTCCCCTGTGCCTCTCTGGTGCTCAGGCTCAGCATCGCCAAACAGCTCAGCCAACCATTCCCCGGACTATTTCCGCCTTTCTTTTCTTTTTCCTGTTGGTATTTTCCCTTTCCCCTTTTCGGAGCGTCTCTTCTTTTCTGGCGCCTTACTGCGGCTATTAAAAAAAAAATAAATATGGCATCTCACATTCTTGCCTACGTTTTATTTCCCCCACAGCCTTCAATCCCCACTTACGTCGTGAGAGCCCTGTCTCCCGATGGCTCCGGGCTGTTTGTTCTGGACTTCGAATGAGGCCACACGATCAGAACTTTCTGTTTCCCTTTCTATCGAAAGTTGAATAGAAAAGGGACCGTGTCCCTCTCTCTTGCTTTGTATCACTTGTGCTACTGGAGATCGTGTCCTGGTCCTCTTGAACGGAAGGGCCTTGACTCAGTACTTGTCCTCTGACGCTCTGCTGTATTGCTGCCTTGTGTGACTGCCACCACCAGCGTTATTCATTCTTGTACTTTTCTGTTTTCGTGGCCTGCTCATCCATACACTCTATCTCGAATTCATCTCTGTTAAGAGGAAAGATGGCTGAATTTAAATATCCAGTTCGTTCTGGTCATTTGAATCGGAAAGCTGCCAGAGTCTTCGAGGTTCCACATCTGCCACCTTGGGCACAAAGCCACGTTCAGCACGCGCAGAATCTCCTTGAGTGCTCAGACGAACCTGTTGAGTACGATCACGACGACGAAGACTACTCGGACAACTGCTTCTTTTTCCCCGAGGACTGTTCCTGGTCTCCGCCTCCGAACTGGGTTATTGAAGACGACAGGTCCGACGACGAGCTTGCCGACGGAACTGACTCTGAGCACGACTGCTGCGACGACACAATGATCCCGGGACTTCCAGACATCCGAATGCTCGATGCAGAGGCCCTCAGCGATTTGCTAGAGGACAACCTCTCGCCTCCGGAGATCACTACGATCATGTATGCTGAAGTCATTTCCTGACTATCGGTGTAACAATGCTGACATTTTCGACTCGTAGGGTGTTTGCCACAAACGGCGCCATCTTTGCCTATGCCTCGTCGCTTTCATCTCGGCAGTTGCGCAACTTGAGCGCCACATACGGAGCTGCTTATACTTGCTACGCAAAGAACGCTTCGAGCGGGAATCTTACAGGCGTGAACCCAGCCAGTCACCCGTCGTCATATGTCACGGCACAGTCAGTGTCGCTAGGCGACGTAGGCTCTATTGTCTTTGAGCTTGAGGACTCGGTTGCCGTTGTGACCAGGATAGCGGACAAAGTCCTGCTGGCCGCTGTGGGGCCGTCGAAACCTGACATCGACGAGGACAGTTCTGCCGACGGAACGCAAGTTCACCAAAACGGCTTTGCGAAGTCGGGGACAGAGGCGACGTCGGCAGCGGAGTCGAATGCACACCGGCCCACCACCAACGGTACACACACCAGCCAACCGCCGACCACCACGACCTCTACCTCTACCAGTATCTCTCGCAACGAAAGCGAAGCTGACGTACGAGCAGACGCGGAGCTGGAGACGCAGTACGAGATTGACCGGAGCAGCAATCTCGCTCGTCTGGCGAGCTTGAATCTGTCTGCATCGCCCTCGACGCTCTTGGCGCTCGAGTCAAAGGCTGCCGCTCTGGGAAGGTTTCTCAGTCAGAAGTTGGCGGACCTTGAGAGTCCTGAAGATTTTTAGTTTTCTTTCTTTATTCCTACTTCATGAGTCTGTACGATTTCCATCTGTTCCATATTCATTTTCTGAGCGTTCCGGTCATTTGTGAGAKATATCCATCTTTGTCGCATCTGAGATTCCGATTCCCATTTTCGTTAGCTGCAGCCGCAGCAGTGTGTACACATGAAGCATCAGTTTTTTCCATCTTGCGCCTTGTCCTCTTGTGCAGACCTTGGAGTCGAAATATCCACAGCCAAGAAATATGGATGGGTCCGCCGGGGAGGCTAACCTCAACTCAGAGTCAATACGAGGTTGAAGACTTCGTTCTTGGATTTGTGTACAGTATCATTGTTTCTTTATCTGAGTCAATACCCGCAGCCAAGCCGCTTTGTAGTATCCTACACCCTAGTTAAAGGCTCGATAGGTAGCATGAATGACTCACACCAGAACATACATAGCCACATGTACTTCGCCTACTCCAAGGTACACTTACATCGATCACGACMTAATTTTCAATCCAACATGCCCATCCTAATCAACCCCATAACAAACGAACCGTACATCCCCCTCCCCGCCCCCCATTCATCCATCATCCTCACCCCGCCGCGCCCACCCAACACCCACGACGCATCCGCCCTCCTCTCCCTCCTCAACAACCCCCTAGTCTACCCTTACCTCGAATCCACCCCCGTCCCATACCTCCCCGAAGACGCCACAGCATGGCTGCAGACATCATACGAACAGGCCACCGCCCTCCTGCACGCAGCGCAAACCAACCGCTTCGTCGACGGGCTGCCATTCACCTGCATCCGTGAGGTCACCAGCACCAGTGGCAGTGGCAGTGACAGCGACGTCTACATCGGCAACGTTGGACTAACGCGGTACGCCTTCTACGAGTTCAAAAAGGGCTCGCCGGAGCGCGAGGAGGCGGTGCGCAGGAATGACGCTTTGGGTGTTGGCAGTCCGGAGATTGTCTGGGGATTTGGTGGTGCGTTTCCCTTCCTCATTTTGGCTACACATATACATATATGTGTATATTTAGGTGATGATGGTGCTGACGCTGACTGAAGATTATCTCTCGCCTACGCATCACGGCAAAGGTATCATGACGGCTGTGATCAAGGCTGTGGTTGAGGAGTGGGCGGTCCCGCGGATGAACGCGCGGGTGATCAAGGCGTCGGCGTATGCAGAGAATAGGGCTAGTATGCGGGTGTTTGAGAAGAATGGGTTTCGGTTGGAGTTTGAGTTGGAGGATTGGGCGGTTGTGCCGTTGGATCGGGGCGGAGGGGTGAAGTCGATTGTTGTGTTGGTTTGGGAGGTGGCAGGAAACAAGTCGGAGGGTGCGGTTGAGAGGGGATTGCATGATACCCGGGCTACTGATTCTGATGGGTAACCGCACTGGATAGGTACACTGGATACAGGTACGGCATTCTCGAGGTATACTGATTAAGTACAAGGTCATCCTATAGACATGATCGATAATATACTCTGCGATATACGAAAAAAAAGTCAGATCAGAAGCTTCAGCATGGTCACGACTTCTCGGCACCGGAAGCAGATGCGTCAGGTGCAACAGCTGATCCACCCGGTCCCATGTGGTAATGGCCCGTGGCAGAGCTTGTCGAGCGGTTGAGCCCGGTCTCAGCTGCCGAGGTGGTGTGAGTCGCTGCCGAGCCGCCAGCGGTCTTCTCCTGCGTGGCTGGCGCAAAGCTTTCCTGCTCCTTGTAGGCCGGAGGGTGTTGTTGTGCCTCGCCTGCGGCAGCATCTGCAGTAGCAGTAGCAGGAGCCGGAGCCGGAGTCGAAGCAGCAGCACCACTCTCGGTGGTAGCAGCGGCAGCCCCCCCGGCTGCTACAGGGCTAGTAGGAGACACTGGTGAGTGTGCCGGGCCACTCTTGGCTGCGTCGCGGACGACGTTCCACCATTTCTCCGCGTCACTCGGAGTATGCGCTTTGAAGTTGAACTCGCTGGTGGTGTGGAACGCGTTGCCGACCTTGCCGCCGGAAACATCCTTGCCTTTGATGGTGAACTTGTTACCGTCAACGCCGCCAACCACGCAGTCGGGTAGGTACAGAGACAGCTCGGGAGAAGGATCGTGGCGGTAGTCGTCATCGTCCTTGAACTCATGCAGGTATCGCGCTGGTGTGACAACATAGTAGCCCGTACTGTAACCTTTCAGCATGGCCCGGGACTTGCGCTCCAGGCTGCCCTCGATGAGCGGGACGGTGGCGCGGTGATCCTGGTTGGGGAAAGAGATGTTGGACAGCGATCGCGGCGGTGAGTCGGGGTCCACCAACACGTTGGCGTTGCGCGTGATGAAATTAACCCATTCATAATCCGGAGGAATGCGCTGAACAGCACCCAGCATGTCACTGTACATGCTCCGTTGCCGGTCGAGTTGGCCGCCCACGAACACGTTGAACTGCTCGATGGCGCCCTGGATGGTTTGCAGAACATGCGCCTCGAACTGCTGGAAGTTGTTCTGCACGGCAATGATGTCCTGACGGTTGTTGTTCTCTTCGGTGACTTGCTTGTTTAAGTGGTGATTGACCCTGCGGCGTAAGACGTATGGGTCATGGGCATGGTCGAATTTGTTGCCCGCAGTTGAGTCAAACGCTGCAACCTGCTGAGCGAGGAGCTCGATATGTTTCTGCGTCACACCTCGTGCTTTTTCAACGGCCTTCGCGCTCTTACTTGCGCCGCTCTGCAGCTCCTTGGACTTGTTCTTGATCTCCTTGTGGAGACGCTGAAGGATCGGCAGCACGGATCCTTTCAGGTGCTTTTCTGTGTCAAGGTACCCATTCACGATTCCCTACGCACTCTGTCAGTAGCTGCGAACCCCAGGTACACGTGCCAGGAAAGAATACCTGAGTATTGCTCCGAATATTTTCAAACCATGCCGAAACTCCGCCCGCACTCTGAGAGAAATGGTGCCCCTCCCGAAGGGGTTCGCTGACAGTCTACCCAGGCAGTATCAGTACCCTTTCAATACCATCTTGGACAAAAGACCATCCATACCTTCAGAACTTTCTCATAATCCTTCGCTTGCGACTTCTGCACTTTGGCTGTGACTTCCACATAATCCTCCAAATAACCACACATGTGTTTCCAAGCACGGAGACGCTCAAGGAGAAGGCCCGTAGTCTACTCAGCACAGCATAGTCAGTATTTACCCATCAGCAGTAGACCCTAGACATACCTCATTGGTATCCGAACCCGGGACGGCCTCTTCGTCGCTCAGTGACGCCCGACGGTCCGGACCGATAGAGCTCCGCATCGTCGACGAACGGTGAGGGAGTCTCTGCTCTACGGGACTGGTTGCAGTCGACATCCTGATTGAATAAAAAGCGCTATATTTGAAGCAGAATGAAATAAACAGAAGCCGATTGACTTGGTTCAGCAATACAGGGAAGAAGGAAAAAAAGGCGCAATTGCGGGAGATCGTGGAGGGCCGAAGCGCTGGCTTAAACTAGGCTCAGCTATTGCCGTAGTACGTGCTACTGCCCCGTAGTCTACTGCGAATACGTAACTATAGATAGTTAGTTGGAGGGGTCAATAATCAAAGTGGAGGGAGTGGGTCAGAGCGGTCAATAGCCAGATACTAGACAGCTAGACCAAATGGCTAGATGGACACTTACCAAGTACAAAATGGAAAGATCGGAGTCTCTCTTCTCTGGGGGAGTATAAGCGAAAGAAAGCTATACGTTCTGGCTTGGTTGATAGATAGGAAGCAGGGTAGTTGGGATTGCCAGCATTTAAAGGGAAAGCTGCTTGCTCACCGGATTGGGAGCGATGAGGTCATTACTTTCTTGATTTGCGTTGTGCAACCCCTCAGTTCGCCATTTGCCAAGCTCAATTCACGCGAACAGTTGAGATCTCAGACAAAGCCCTTGTTTTAGTCTGATTGACTGCAGAACATGGGTCCGTTAAGCTTCTTCTATCTAGCAACCGAGCAATCAGATTTGAACCCATGGCGCGTTGCCCACCAAAAAAACAAAAATGGCAGAGTGCAGGCAGCGCGAGTCGAATGCTATAACCAAGCCACTCGACCACTGGCCATGTAGTACAGCAGATTTTCCAGGTCTATCTCAAATTCCTCAGATATTGACTAACTGAAAACATTGATGGCTGGTTAGCTAAGGTACCAGGTTCAAAAGTTTTTGGCCCCCGAAGCGTAAAAAAGTCTCGGGGGAAGAAGTTTTAATTCGAGGTCTCAGATCTTAGGGACATGCTACCAAATTGTAGTGATATCTTGCCCATGCCATGGCATTGTGATTAATTCCTTAATGGTTTTTCTAAAATACGTACACCAGTGAGATCGGTGGTCTTCCCACATAAAGTAGTGTGTAGTTTGGAGCATATCTTGTTTAGAAACTTCGAATCCTTGCAGTCAAGACATTGGTCAAGATGTGCTATCTGACTGGTATTAAAGGTGTACACAGTGTAAACAATGTACATGATTCATGCTGACTATGTGCAACCAGCTCCTTCATAATATTTTCATTACTGAAATAAAACCATAGGTCCAGTCCTTGGTTGATACCCGAATCCTTCTATGATCCCTTTGACCGCCAACGCCTCGTAAATCGAAAGAGAAAACTCCACCCTGGTCTAAAGTATATGATAAGAAAGAAAGGTGACATGATGCGAAATGCGTACATGATAATGCACGAGAAAAACATGGAGGCGCCTGTCCTCCGATTAAGTAGAATCAAATATGTGATATGCGATGCGTTTCGACGTCCAGCGCCAACATTATCTTCATAACTCGTAGAGATGATGAGTCACCTAGTGCGAGTCGTTTCCTTTTTTGGTGATTTTTTGTACCGATGTGTCGTGATGGGAGATTATCTTCATGGACGCAGGAAGGAATTGATCTATCCTTAGTTGTGGTTTACACCCGAGCTCGAGCTTGAACAAGACGCAGTCTGCGATCGTCATCGTCATGATGAGGTGGCGTCCGAGAGTTGTAGAGGCCGGAACGTAAGTGATGAACATCGATGCCGGTGTTTCCCGTCGAGGCTCCACGGCCGGCGCTCCGAATGTGGGCTTGTTGAGGGGATTGGAGGGTAGGCATGGCGGTATCCTCAGCAACAACAGCCTGATAATCTGGCAGTTCACTGTCGCATGGTCCCACAGTAGACCTGACCGCGGTCGAATAGCTTGGGACGCGGCTGAGGCTTTCAACTTCAGCGAACTGCGGGTGAAACGGTGTAGCCATTCCAGACGGAATGTTGTCATGGTTGTGATAGCCCTCGTCGGAAGGTCTGCGGGAAAGTTCGGGACTCGCGGGACTGTGCGAATTGGAGCCAGAAGAGGGGCCAAAGTAGTCGGCGGAGACTCCCAGACGACGCTGTTCGGCGTCGCTATGGCCGTCAGTATCAGACGGCGATGGGTTGCCGAACCTGCTGGCATGCAGGTTGGACAGTCGACTATGTAAGGCAGAAGCAGAGATATCGGTGTTGGTCAGGGCATTCATCGATGCAAGATTCTCGGCAGACAAATTCCGGCTAAGAGTACCAAACGGAGTTCCCGGTCCGCTGCCCGGTCCCGGCGTCCGGTAGCCGCTAGGGTCGACCTCGCTATACAATTGATCGAACTGATGCTCGCCATACAACGGGGGTGCTTGTTGTGCGAGGTTGTTGACTGCCCGTTGAGCGGATTGTGGTGTCTGGTCTACGAGGTTGTTGTGGTCGTCAATTGCCAGGTTTGGCGAGATGAAGATGGAAACGGGGAGGGTAGCCCGTAGCTGTGAATGTTAGCATCCCTTGATACATATTCCCGGGAATTGGATTATTTACCTCACTAATGTGACCGTCTGGATTCAGTAATTGGACACGGAACTTCAATTTGTGTCTGATTTTGATACCTCGTGTGTCGGTATCCTGCAGACAGCGTGTTAACGTCTTTGGTAGGTCAAGGAAGCGAGAAAATTGGTATCCCTCTGCTGCCTCGTCAATGATCTCCAGACTGTTTTCCTCATCCAACTCATGTTCATCATTGACAATCGTCCTTGTGTTTTTGTATGTGTTGCGGACAGAATCGGGGTCTTCAGGATTAAGTGTAAGGTCATGACTTTCGATTAGCTGGGAGACGATCTGTCCGATCTTGAGTCCTTTGAGGAGGGGTATCAGTTTGAAGTCCACCCGTATGCTGGTCCCAAAAATAACGGCCTTGGTTGGAGTGCTGATTGAATACTCGATTTTGTTTGGCCAAATGTTCTCCACGGACTGCACCAACATTAGCAGTTGTAGCCACGAGTTCAATACCAGAGTCAACCTACCATAGCATGAGAGAGCTCAAGTGCACTGGAGTCTAGCGTACGAATAATACGCAGTGGTTTCCTGACAACAATATCCTTGGCATACTTGCGTCCGATTTCTGCCTTGAATCTGTAGGTCACGTAGGTATCGCTGAGACCTTCGACACTCTCTGGCATGGAGCCTTCGAGAATCACATGGAATGGGAACTCATAGTTGCCCGCAGCGAGAATCTCAGTCTTGCTTTTGCCCGCGTCTCTGAATGTCCAGGTCTTTTCATAAAACACCTTTTCCCTCCATGATTTCCTGCCACCGCTGGCCGAGCTTGACGGGAGGTGCCAACTGCAAAGCACGTTCGTCAGCACTTTGCTTGTCACATGAAGAGAAGTACAGCAACTGGCAACTTACCACACTCGAGAGATACCAGTGAGGTTCAGTCTGACGTGCTTGGCGGACAGTGGCTCCGACAAACAGAGCAGAAGCTTTCCACTCAATTGCGCACTGGCTGCCTCTTGCTCTCCTCCTCTAAATACAATATAATCTTCATCCAGCCTATTGCAAAGAGTTAGCCCGATTGTGCGAATGAGATATGAGATCTGCGAAAACTTACCGGATATCAAAGTATTTGAGGTGACTCGCACCTCCACCGAAGAAGCTGAGAGCCATGACGATGCAACTAACGGCTGCGAATATGCAGCTGCCAGAAGATCGGACGAAAATGTAGTAAAATCGCTAGGACGCGATATGCGGCGTTGAAGGACACTCGTAAATAAAATAACCGTATTCCAAAGAAGGGAGATAAGGAAAAAATATAGAGGGGGAAGAAATAATGACACAGAGATAGACGGAAATATGGCGCAAGAGATAGAATCCGCCAATGATCGACTTGTCACTGACCAGATTATTTTGCAGGGCGACAAACGGGTCCCACCTAGGGATTATTGCTTGGTCGTGAGGTGGGGGCAGAGAACAGCCGTTTCCGTCACCGTCTGGCCGATAGAGGAACTTTTAGGAGTCCCTTTTGGGAAACTGGGAAAATCGGACGGGAAGAGTGGCGAAGCGGGTCCTATTCCCTTTGTAAAGTACTCCGTAGAGGAACCAGAGATGATGCGATAGTTCAACTCGGCTGGTCTGACTAATCTGATGACGAACAGAAGAGCTACTGATCGATGAGACAAGAGAGATGAAATGATGCCTAGATGCAATAAGAGATGCAATAGTCAATGGATGAGTCCCTAGGTGACAGGGTTAAATGTATAAAGGAAGGAGATGAACGAGGATGAGAATTCATCCGGACAGATCGAAAGGGAGAGAGAATTGCAGGATCAGCTGACAACAATAGAACCAGAAGAAAACAATGAGGCTACTATGACATTCAATGCTGATGATGATGAGGGAAAACAATAAGATGGGATATGTTACGTCAGAAACATACCAGATTCACCACGGAATCAAGGATCCTATCAGTCGAACGGTGTTGGTGCTCGGTAAAGTTGCTGGAATTGAAATGAGAAAAGAAGAGAGTAATAATAGTAAGGCAAGAGAGGGAAGCCATGGGAATCTGTTTGTATTTATTCCATCGAAATCGATTGTCAGGAAGATAGATGATTGCGTAGGAACAATGATTTTATTATTTTAATTCGCAATTATTATTTTAAAAATGAAAAAAAACCGATAATACTTGAATTAATTATTGTTCTTAGTGCCGAAGGCCCTTGTTCTGATGATAGTGGTGAAGAATAACACCAGGGATCGCCAGGTTGACCTCCAAAGGGCTTAGGCTACTCGGGTGGTCCGGTTATCGGGTGGCATAATCACAAGATGGAGCTTGACAGGTGGCATATGTAGTGATTGATTGGTGTCTGATGATTTTCTAGAATTTCCTTCTGCTGATTGTCATCGTCTTCACAAGGTACGAAGTGATCACTCAACACTTGAGTCGGCTCTGTCGTACGGACAAAAGTCGAGGGATATAACCTCGGGATCGACCTTGCGCATGATAGCCGCAAGATCTTGCACGACTACCCGTATTCAAGCAATGCTCACTGCTATTCCTCACTGTGTCTTGTAT